GCTGAGGAGAAGAAAGTGAATGGAATTGGATCTGGGGTGGTGGCTCGGGCGTTGCAGCAAACAGTGCAAGATGACAGTAGGAGAGCTTCTTTTGACGGCAGATTGAGCTTGGATTTAAGCAGTTCAGAGTTGTTGAAGGCAGCTCGACAAAGCCCAGATGCGGATTCGGTGAATGAGTCTTCTGTGCCCTCTGATCTCACTACTTCTGATACGGACAGTGTTTCCTCTGGCAGTACTTCCGGAGTTCAAGATTGTGGTTCGGTTGCCAAGGGGCGAAATGGGCCTCGAGGGATTGTTGTCTCCGCGAGGTTTTGGCAAGAGACCAACAGCCGATTGCGGCGCTTGCATGATCCTGGTTCTCCTTTATCGACAAGTCCCGGGGCAAGAATAGCTGCCCCATCAAAGTTCAGTCAATCAAAACGGTTCTCAAGTGACGGTCCATTGGCATCACCACGAAGAATGGCTTCCCCTATTCGAGGTGGCACAAGGCCTCCATCCCCGAGTAAGCTTTGGACTTCTTCGGTATCATCACCATCAAGGGGAATTTCTAGTCCTTCCAGGACGAGAAATGGCGTCGGTGGCTCCTTGGTCAGTAATTCTATTAGTACGCCCTCAATTCTTAGTTTCTCTGTTGATATCCGGAGGGGGAAGATGGGGGAAGATCGCATTGTTGATGCACACGTATTGAGGCTTCAGCATAACCGATACTTGCAATGGCGGTTTGTGAATGCAAGGGCAGATGCTACGTTCATGTTGCAGAGACTAAACGCAGAGGTACTAGTATATCTCACCCTTTTGATGATTTCTGTGGTTTTTACTAATCCGTAATCCCTTTTTATCATGGCAAGGTTCTTAATAACTGCCATATGCAATTTAGCTTACATTTCGTTTTTGATACCCATTGTCTCTCTTAGGTTGTTACATCCAAAAGTTTGGTTATCATCATATCTGTCGTTTCTAGCATATCCACTGCTGAAATCAATGCTCTCATCTAGATTTCTACATTAAATTGCTTGTTCAGTTGCTACTGAATCTTTCACGAGGAACTTCTTGTGGTAGGGATGGATGGAGAAGACGCTCTCTTAGGCAGGATTTGGTTGCGTTTGTTAACTTGGTCAATCTGAATATTTCTCCCTCTTATGGTGATGGTTTACAGATTTCCTTGGAGAGGTTTTTCTTTGGGTATCTGAGTATTTTGGGTCAGATTGTTACTTGTTAAGAGTCTTAGGACATGAGGTTCATTCTTGGATATTTTTCAAGGGAGCAATTGTTTCACATTTCTCCTCCTTTGTCCTTGGGAAATTGGGTCAATTTTGTTTTTGAGATGGATGTACATGTGAAGATTCTACTGTTTAATTTCCTTACAGTACTGATGCAACTCATAAATTATCTTCTATGCCCCCTTCTACTTATAGATTTAATCTAGTAAGAGGTTTTTTCCTGATAAGGAACAAAGAATTTCATTGATGAAGAAAAGGAGATCTAGTATCTTCCTTTATGTTGGTTTTAGTACAGATTCTGATGATAGAAACTTCAATGATATAATTCCTATTCTTTCCATTTTGGATGAAGTTTTTTATTAGTCTTCTCACCTTTGGAAAAGAGAATTAGAACCCAAAATCTTTACTTTAGGTTCCTGTACTTTTAACTCTTACCATGGAATGTTAGACTTTCCACTCATCTCTCATCTAGATGTTTGCCTCTTTTCTTTAAACACATTTGGAAAGCTTAAGGCTTGTTAGTTTGTACTTTTGGTGGTTCTGTATATGCCAAAGTTGTTTCATCTTTTATTGGTCTGTACTATAGCATCTGTAATCAATTAGCTACAGTGGTTTAATTTTGTCGGCTTCACTGCATGACAAGTTTCAAATAGCAGAAAACAATTTGGAACAAAAATGCAAGAAAATGGCGAGCAAACTGCTTGAGTTGCCTAGCGAAGATGCATGAAATCAAAATGACCGTGAAAATAGAGCCTTTCCTATTCTATAATTGATCCAACCTAAACCACCACGAGTCATGATTCACACCCAAATTTACCTGCTTATGCCTCGATCAATCCCCATGTTTTAAGGGCAACCCCTTCTAATTGTCTTCAATCGTGTGGTAGGTAAAGATGTTCACCAAATCCCCATCTTTTTTTTTTCTTTTTTTTGAGAGGAAATGAAAACTTCAATCCAGAATGATGATGGTGACAAAAGTCTGATTTGGGTGAGAGTTATATATGTCTGATTCTCAAGAAGCTATGTTTTGTGCATGACATAGCTTAACTACTGCCTTATATACGATCTTCGAGAAGGTGCTTTCAGCTAAAAAACCAAAGTCCACACTTCCTTAAACCATTTTCACATTCTAGTATCCTTTTGTTGGGTAGAGATAAATACGTTCAGTTAGTATGCTTTCCTAGACGTTGTTCTACAAGCTAGGTGGTTTGGTGGTAATGAAGTGAACCTATGGGCATATCTCAAGTGTTAATTACTCGGTTATTCTTAATGGGAGATTGAGAGGAATATTCACCGAGGCAAGGAAACCTCTTCCTCCAAGCAATTGGTACCTGCAACACTAGACTGTGACATTAATCTTTAAGACCAAAAACCATTTCAAGCACATCAAGGATGTTACGACGTGTACAAACTTCCTGTATTTGAAGGGGTTGAAAAGTACGATGCTTTTGAAGGGTTGGAAGGATGGGGTTTGGTAAGTTTTTGGGTTGGTGGAGACTCATTTCATTAAATTATCTCCCCATTAATTGATGACACCTTGGTGATTTCTTCAACGAACATTGCCAAAGTTTGTAGACTTCCTAACATCCTTTATATGCTTGAAATGGTTTTTGGTCTTAAATATTAATATCACAGTCTAGTGTTGCGGGTACCAATTGTTTGGTGGTGGTTGGTTCCTACTTGAGATTGGATGAAGGTCTCTCTCCCAAAGGATCTTGATGGCTTGGGTATTGGTAATCTTATTAAGCAGAAAATGCCCTCCTTTCCTTTTCAAATGGTTATTGAAGTTCATGAGGAAGCACTGAGCAGGATGAAAGATGCTTTATGGCAGAAGAGGCCGTGTTGACAAAAGTTGGAATTTTGACTTTTGGCCATAAGCCAGTTCTGGATAGCTATCTTTAGCGTCAAGACATTGTTCATATGAATTGTTGACTTCTTGTAGGTAATGGGTAAGGATCTGGCCTCCTAGCTTCTTAATCTTGCTTTATTCTGATTGTTTGAGTCGTGCCTTGATGTAGACACTCGGGTCGATGGTGCTCAGATTCTCATTATCTTTCTTGAATGATCATGCCTAGGAGAAATATGAATGATTGTGAAACTTTTGAATAAATCTTGTTGATGGATTGTTTGTCCTCGTGCATCTTGCTTGATAGGACAGATTTAGAATTTTTTATAATAGGCAGCTTGTCTTATCCTTGAAGAAAGAGGCATCCATAAGGGATCTATGGGGGGAAGAATCTAGCTGCTGGAATTTGGGTCTTAGAAGACATTTAAAGGATGAAGAAATTGCTGACTGGGTGTTTCTCAACCAGCAGGTTTCTGCTGTTCATTTGTCCACAAGAGCTGACAACATAGTATGGAAATTAGAAGCTAATGGTATCTTTTCCACCAATTCCCTGATTAAGGACTTAACACACCACAACCTGGACCCCTCACCCCATCTTGCTGACATCATTTGGAAAGATTTCTACCCTGGGAGCTCAGTCACCGTGTCATAAACACTAATGACAAACTTCAAAGAAGACTGCCACATATGGCTTTATCCCCCAATGGTGCTCAATCTGCCAATCCAATTTGGAGACCCAACAGCATCTTTTTGTCACATGTCCATATTCATCAGTTTCTGGGACTACATCCTCAACGCTTTTGGTTGGTCCACGGTATTGCCAACAGATCCTCCCCTCCTCATTGCATCCACGCTTGCAGGCCACCCTTTTAAAAAGGAAAAAATGCTTCACTGGATGAATTTCATTCGAGCTTTCTTTTGGCTTCTTTGGAGAGAAAGAAATCAAAGAACTTTCAACGCCAAATTTCTCCCTTACGAGCGGCTTTTTGATGCTATAGTCTATCTAGTTATTACATGGTGTAAAGGCTCTTCTCTTTTCCATCACTATAGTTACTCTTCCCTTATAGTCAATTGGAAGTTCTTCATGTAAATCCCTCTATGGGACTTTTGTAATTTCATGTTATCAATGAAATTGTTTCTTTCAAAAAAAAAAAAAAAACAAACAAACAAACAATAGGCAGCTTGTACTTTTGACCCTACCATAATTATGAACTGCCTGTCATGGTTATATTTATGGACCAAACCTACTCTGCAGGTAAATGAGAGTTCAATCTAAATTTTTTTTGTGGAATAATCCTGAAGTTATCAAGCATGGATTAATGGATTAAATACCATTCTTTTCTCCTTGGAGGATTTTAGCAAGGTGGAGAATCTCCTTTACATTGCTAATGAGTCGGGATGCTGTCTTGCTTCAAGATCAACTATATAAAAAGTGGTTTACCTATAACATTTCTCTAGAGCTGGTTAGTTTTAAATACCATTCCCTGCTAAGATATTCATATGTACTCCTTCCTTTTGGCCGATCTTGGTCTTCCCTTGGTGGGAATTCCCACTCTGAATTTTTGGAACCTCATGGATAAAATAATAAGAGGTAAGTTACAGAAGGAGGAACTCTTCGTCTTTCCAAAGGTTGAAGACACGCACTCATTACAGCTACCATATTGGGTTGATCTTAGCATGAAAGGATGTCCAAAACAATGCTTCCTTCTTGTGGCATTTTCCCTTGTCTCATGTGTTGACGTCCTTCAGTAGTTCAGCCACTTCCATGATCTCATCTGCCACCCTATCGATGTGCAACATCAGTCCTCTGCCTAGATCTTGAGTTTAAACCCATTTAGAGAATCACCCTTAAATTTTCTTCCTAGATCTCAAATTTCTACCCATTTAAAGAAATGACCCTCCAGTACCATGTTTGGTACATTTGGAATGGTGCAACAATGATGTTGAACTCCCTATTCAAAATAGAGCGACAAGGCTTATTTAAATTCCTTCCATATCTGCAAGGGATGTAGAATTTTTGTTTGGTACCACACCAGGGCTTCATGCAACATACTCACAACAATGGCTTCTCCTCTCTAACAAGGCAGCAGTGGTTTCGTACCTCCTTTGTGACTACCGTGACTCCATCGAATCCATTCTACTATCTATTTTCTTCCTTCTTGGTGGCATGCAGGAGAGTCGTGCCATTAACAGGCCACACCTAAAATTGGGTCAAATTATAGTTGTTCAAGTTGGTTATATTTTGCGATTGTTCTTTTGGTGTTATACAACATGGGTGTTGCTAACTCTTATTCTTCTTCCATAAGGTCTCCCTTCCCTTCTCCTAGCGTAGGTAAAATGGTTTGGAAGCTTGGCATCCCTATCAAGTCCCTGATCTATATTTTGATGATACAAGTTGGTTTTGCTAGTCCTGATAAGCAATGTTCAAATGGTTTGTATTATCCGTAACTGACCTTAAATTGTTGTGTTTATCTTGGCGTGGGGCATGTATTCTTGGGGAAATGGTTTGGCTTAAAATATGAAAACAAAAAAGTAATCAATTGAAACCATCTTGGGTTAGCCTAGTGGTCAATAAGAGCTAATATAAATAGTAAAAACGCTTAAAGAGAATGTGGTCAAACAATGGAGAACACCTACCTCTGATTTAACGTCCTACGAGTTTCCTTGACAACCATATATAGTAGGGTCAGACAATTGTCCCTGATTAGTCGAGGTGCGCGCAAGTTGGCACGGACATACGGATATCAAAAGTAAAGTAATCAACAAAAACAATAAAGCAAGCAAATTTACAGAAATGGCTAATGTTCCTTTCAACTTTCTCAAAAATCTTCCTACCCGCTCTCCAAAAATTTCCCAATAGATTCGATAGCATCTAATGGTTTTTGTAGTGGTTTTAGTCCTTCATGTAGGTCTCTTTCAGTATCTTCTTTTTCTTTTCTTTTTCTGGAAAAAAATATTAGTAAAGTTTCTATTCTTGATTGAAGTGGTTTGGCCTTTTTTAAGTTACTTACACTTGCCTCCAAGCAGTCTTTTCCATTATTCCTACATTCATAATTTCACACGTCTTCATACTTCATCTTCTTCCAAATTTTCTTGTGTCTAATGTCTTCATGAATGTTTGTAAACACAAAAAATTTTGTTCATACAGTTTATGGAATTACTTGCTGCTGATCAGTATTATTGGAATATTTAGTCAATTAGTTTTATCATCTTTCTTTTTCTGCACCAGAGAAATGTTTGGAATGCGTGGGTCACTATCTCAGAACTACGGCATACTGTCACACTTAAAAGAATCAAGTTACTATTACTACGACAGAAATTGAAGCTGACATCCGTCCTCAAGGGACAAGTAAGATTCAGAACCCCTTTTTTTTTCTCCCAAAGAATTCCATTTATTTGATGTATTTGGCCCTTTAAATGCCATTGAACTTCTTTATGGTTTATACTGGTTAGAAGGTCAAACTGTATAGCCCAGAAAACTGATAATTGATAAATGTCTAGTTAAATGTGATGGATTTAGGATGTTATTTTAAGTTAATAGCACCATTGTTTTAAGAAAAAAGTGAAATTTTAAATGAAGTGTTTTGTTTAAAAAAAATGCATTGTTCTTCTAAATGACACTTGAAGTGCCATCGCATTGTATGCATAGAGCTTTAATATACTAGCACTGAGAATAAATAATTGGTGATATGCCCAAAATATTTATCTTCTTTCTAGTAGAGCCCTTCACCGTCAAGAGATGTAGGTGGGTTGAATAAGTTGCACTTGACCATCACGGATAGAAATCCATAGTTTATGACTAACTTGTGACCAATTAATCATATCTGTAACTTTGCTTGTTGAGTTGATTTCTCTCATAATAACGCGAAGGTCGCAGGTTAATAAAAAAAAAGTTGATTTCTCCATAACCTGATCTTTTGTAAATCTATTTTGAGCAGCAAGAATTAGTTTTCACACATTTAGTCAGTGCAGCGTTATTTTCGCATGGGTCTTGCATAATCTAAATATCTGGAATATTATAATCATGAATCATGAATCTATGATCTAGTTAGTAGATGCTAATTTTATTCTATTTTTTTTCTTTCCTGCTGTTGACATTGCATCAACTGGGGGAATCTTTGCCATGTAGCCATTGTGTATATTGTGATTGACATGAAGGGAGTTACACTTCTCGATTGTTTTACTCCCTTGGATACTTTGTCTCTTGAATGTTTCTTGACACATGCAATTTTTTTTTGGCCCATCTGAAAGACCTTCTTGTGAATCTTTTCAACTGATATCATGGTCATATGTCTACATTGAAAAAATGAAATATGAAAAGGAGAAGAAAGCCTTAACCCAGGCTAAGGAAGTTACACAAAAGCTTTCCAATTAGCGCGAGGAAAAGGGAACCCACGGTTACGATAAAGGTTGAACAATCTGCACCAAGACAAAGCTCGCAAAGCAATATGCTCCAACAAAATGGAAATCTTGCCTTTTATGGAAGTTTCTATTGTTTCTTTCCAACCAAAAGGTCTAAAGAGCCCCAAGGAATCTTATCCAAAGGAGCTTGGTCATCTTTGTAAGGGTGATTATCAAAGCTGCCATGAGAAGAATAATGATCATATTGTTAGGAAGAATAATGTGCGACCCAAACTAGTTAAACAGGGTAGTCCAGACATGTGAAGCCTTCGAGCAAAGGATGAAAAGATGGTCTTGCGTTTTTTCTTTTTCTTTTTCCTTTTCTTCATAAGGCACACCAATTTGAGGGGTGGTGGACCTCTTGGGATTCTTTCTTTGTGTTTACCATGAGTGTTAATGTTATTCAAGAGAACCTCCAAATGAATATCTTGACCTTCTTTGGATAAGAGTACTTCAAATCCATTGGGCTACTGGACAATCGAGAACTTGCAGATCTGCAGCATTATCTTTCAAAAGGACTTGCAAATGAAAATACTCTAATAGAATCTTTAAGATAGACCCATTTATAGTAAAAAAAAGTGCTTTTTAGAAGATCCATAAGTGAAATCTACTTAGTTGCCTCCCGATCATTCAAATCTACTTAATCCAAGAAATGAAATAATTAACGCAACATGTTATAATGGGAAGTAGTATAGTACTTCCATTGTGCTTGATAATTTTCTTGCATGGATGAGATCTGATTGGCATTCTGCTGTAAGAAAGGATGTTTGATGCTGTTTATTTGTTTGCTATGCGTGATAGAGTTCAACTATTATTGATAGTAGAGAGGTTCGTATCCAACAAGAGATTCAATGGCTCCCGTACTCTCCATTCACCCTTCAGAGAAACTCAAGCCATATCCAAAACGATACCTCTCCTAACCATATTTAAGTCTACTCACAGATCACCATGCTTACCTCACAACTAACTAACCACATGGCCCCCACAACTCTTGATGGATTAGCTCACATACTTGACTTTCCCCCTTTTGGGCAACAGCCATTATGTGGCATGACTTCTGCTTTGCATACCTTAATCCATTACTGCCCAAATAACATTTTTACCGGGCTTTTAGCAGCAAATGGTATCCCTCCTCTTCTACCTTTGAATCCACAAGTAGTGGTGAAGGTCCAAGAAATTACCCTGACCCCTAACTCTCTTCCTATGATACACATTAATAACTGGGGTCTATCAACATGGTGGCCCTTCTCTTTGCTCTTTGAGCTGCTCTTCAACACTCCTTTTACCATGATGGATTATATATAATAAAATAATATTGTTATGCAATGGCCTTATTCATTAAAGTTAATGGAATAATATCATACTGAAAATGGCCTTATTTTCCTCCTTTAGCTTGGTGTTAATTTTTGAAATATTATGCTGTGATCATGCAAGATTTTTTATGTCCTTGTGAATGCCAATTTTGCGTTTATTTTGTTCCCAAATTATAACATCAGCTTATTTTTCTAAATCAATGTTAATGTAGATAAGTTATTTGGAAGAATGGGCTCTTTTAGACAGAGATCACTCAAGCTCTTTGCTTGGAGCAACTGAGGCATTGAAGGCCAGTACTCTCCGGCTCCCGGTTGTTGGGAAAGCAACGGTATTTAGCCTGTACCTTCTACTTTCATTGGAAAGCAGTTTCAAACTAAGACACTTGTGAAGAAAGTAAACAATTTTTATTTTTTCAGGCTGATATTCAGAACCTGAAGGATGCTGTGGGCTCAGCTGTTGATGTTATGCAGGCAATGGCATCCTCCATATGCTCTCTCTCATCTAAGGTGCTGCTTTACCCAGATTTCTTACTTGTCTGAGGAAGTCTGTTGTTTTTATGTTATCATTTTTCTGCTGTTGAAGGTTACGAATAGACAACACAAACCTATGTACTTCCATAGATTCAATTTAGGTTTTTTGGTTCTCCTGTATGAGAAATTTTGGACTGCTGGTTATTTTCATTATCACGTGGTGTTCCTCCTGGAACTAATGTTTATTTTAGAGATCTTGTATTTTGTGTCAGTTCAGATTTCCCGCATTAAAATCCTTAAATTGAGGAAAAATGAGACTGCCATATCATGTCTTCTTCTTCTTTTTTTTTTTTAATACAACAGTCAGGATTAAATTGTTGATCTTTTATTGGCAACGGAGCAATTGCAATGATGTAGGTAGTTTTAGGATCTAAATTATTACTTGGGAGCATGACCATGGAAGAAAGAACATTATGAAGAGCTTTTTTCCCTTTTCCATAGCTTATCCCTTAAGAGTTAAAAGCTACTGGAATCTTTGACCTTGTATTCCTTCGATCCTTTGTATTTTGCTTCTATCTTAGAAACGGTTACATCTCGTCCACAGGTAGAAGATACGAACTCCGTGGTAGCTGAACTGGTTAAGGTGACGGCAAAGGAACGGATTTTACTTCAACAATGTGAAGATTTTTTGTCCACTCTAGCAGCCATGCAGGTAAGTGAAGCTAATCCAGTTTTGGTCTTCAAAAAGTAAACTGTCTGCATGTTGCATTTGTTCTCATTAACAGTCGTCATGAACAGGTGAAAGATTGTAGCTTGCGAACGCACATATTGCAACTGAATCGGTTTCCAACGAGACAGCAGCCTAACAAATACATGTAGAACTGATATGATCCTGATGATTTGACTCACTTCTCACTCGCTATTCTACTAACATTACACGGGCCCCTTTTTCGTTTTTCTACCTGATGGAGGCAGAGACTGAAGTAACAAGAACAGATTGATGATTTTTAGGATCTAGGATTTGAATCCTTCTTGGTGGCTCTTATATTTCTTCTTTTATGGTTGTTCAATGTATCTGGAAAAAGGAAAAAAGATTGTATGTAGGGAATGGCTTTCCATCCCCCTTTGATAAGATTAGCTCTGTGTAAAAGTGGTGCAGTTCTCCTATCCCTTCAGCCAACAAGTAAATGCCAATGCTGAAATATGTATATATGTAATGTTCTCATCATTGTTGATTCTTGTAGTTTGTGAATTCTCATGACTGATTGGTGAAATAGTCTCTCTTTTTTCATTCCCAGCGCGAAAAGTTATTATTTGGATCGAATCATTTTAATTGAGCGCGAAAAGTTATTATTTGGATCGAATCATTTTAATTTTGATATGCGCTTTATTTATTGAACTATGATCAAATTGGCTTAATATTATCAATTCTTGCGGTCCAGCAATTTATATATTTCTTCGAAAGGGTTTAACTTTTCAATTAATTTCAAGCAAAATAGGGAAGATTAATGAGGTAATAAAAGTAATATTTGTATGTAGGTTAAAAGTGAAGGAGTACTTTTTACCATATCATTAATTATTTTTCATAGAAAATGATTTTATATAATTTTAGACAAATTATATATTTTACTTCAAAGTTTATTTAGACCTTGAAGTTTGGAAATCAATGTTTTAGTCACAAAATTTAGGAAAGAGTTGTAAATGGTCTTTGAAGTGTGTTGGCCATTTTGTTGACCTAACATTATGACGGTGTGACATTTTATTTTGAATAAAAAGATGATTACATTTACTATTTATTGATTCCGATATTAATTTTATATAAAGAAATATTTTAGAGTACGAATGTAAATGTAATTCACCGATTTCAACTTTTTATTAACATTTACTGCTCGATAATTTTTTTAGTTCAAATAATTTTGTAGAAAGAAGGATCCACGATTGACTGTTTAGATGATAATAGATGTCTTATTCTAATGAACTATGCTTGAATTAACTATTATACATTAATTAAAACCTTAATGCATCATAACCTAGAATATTCATAGTTATTTATTTAATTAAAAATTAAAACCGAAGAGATATGTATTGAAAGAAAGAGTTTATTTGCCTGAAGAGTTAAAATTTCAATGTCTTATTAAACCAATTTAAAAATAGCTTAATTAATTAAGGTAATATTGATCTCACTTATTATAGGTTATAGGTTAAAAATTCTGATCCTCATTCCACATTTGTGATATCATTTGTGATATCATGTTTTAAAAAAATGTCAGGTTTAATAATAATATTATTATTTTTTAAAGAATTATACTAGTTAATAATTTCTCTATTTTTTATAACGATTTTATTTTTATTTTTTGTTTTAAAAAATTGTGCCTGTTAACATTATTTTTTAGTTTTATTTTTTAATATTTTGAAATCTTGGATAAATTTTCAAAGGCAACAATAAATTTTGTTTAAACTATTTTTTAAATTTATTTAAGATATTAAAAAAAATTAGAGTATTCAAATGTTAAATAATGAATGAGAATTTAAATGTGGTACAATGTCCGACCAATTAAGTTATGCTTAAATTTGAATATTAATTTTTTTAAAATATTGGTATATTATTATGATATTTAAAAATAAATGGTATCAAACAAAATCTAAGTCATTTTTCATCGTTTAGAATTTGTAGAATGCATGGCTCAATATTCATAACACATTGAAAATTCTTTTGTCACCAATTACATGTAAGCTCGATACGTCTTTTCTCGTACATAGAGTAGATTTCTTTAAGGGAGGTCGTTGCCCTTAACTGGTTAAACTATGTTAGAAAAATTGCCAGGATAAGTGATATTCTTATGCATTGATAAAGTCTTGAAAAACGATAGGCAAATGTCAATATCCCAAAGAAAAAAAAAGTGATATTTTGATGGCTTTGGCCTTTCACCACTTAAATTAATAAAATTGGCCAAAACACAAGGAAGCTTCCCAAACCCTAATTTTCTAAGTCTTGTTGGTCATTATAATTTAGCCTACCAAATTGGAATAATTCTCCTCTTTAATTTCTCTCTTAGTGAACTTAGTCAACTAAAGAACCCTAACAAACAAAACTTACCAACACTCAAAATGGAGCCCAATTTCATAAATTCTATGGATTATACTTCGACCAATATTCGTTAGTATTCTTATTATAATGAAAGAACGGGTCACTATAACACACAAAACAACCGTAGAAAAGTCTATTATATAAAAGAGAGTAAAAAGACTGAAACTTTTAAGAATTGGGTCAATCACGTTTATTGGAAAGTGATAGTAGAGTGATTCTACCCATCAATACCCATTTACTTATGTACGTCATAAATGGGAAAATGTACATTTTTTTTGAGCTAATATGATTCTCGTCGGTATCATATATCTCTATTATGATACCATGAGTTTACGATGGTTGACCATTCAGAATTAGTTTTATGGATTCTATTGACTAATTTTAACTCTTTTGTTGTCTCTCTAGTCTATTCAATTGTCTATTTGTGTCTATCATCTCTTTTTATTGCATCATATATTTTAAATTAGTTTACATTTATTAAATTAAGCGTGTCATTGTAATTGATGTTATGATATCTAGGACTAAATAGAAGCATTTTTTTCAAGTCAAAATATAACTGAATTTTTTTAAAATTTAAGAACTAAATAGACATAATGAATTTAAGGATTAAATCTATAATTTAAATACCAAAAATATGAATTTGAACATAGCTCAGCTACTAAGGAAGTCGGAGGTTAGATTCCTCACACTTTGACATTTCTTGTACTAAAAAAAATACTAACCCGCTATAATTTATGAAATAACTATGAACATGAGCATAGCTCAACGGTGATAATTCTCTCTTATTATACTCGAAAGAAAAAGTGATCTATGAAATAATTTGAATTTTAAAAGATTAAAGCTCAACTAACCATCATATCTAAATAATGTTTCTAGTTTTTCGTTTTTTTTATAAGTGTTTTTGATATTTTAGCCCAATTTTAAACACAGAAGTCGATTTTTATAATTTAAAAATAAAAAAATTGACTAAAACTTCAATAACATGAATTTAAAAACTAATAGACATTGATTATTAAAAATATTTGTATTTTTTAAAAAAATATAAAAAAAATCAATAATCTTATATAATGATATTTTTTTATTTCGTTTTTAGTTCTTTTAATTGTTTTTGGACAACTTTTAATATTATATTATTGCCTTATATAAAAGGTAAATTAATCTTCGTATTAACCCAAATCCAAAAATTTATATATTGGCATGTGACTAACGTGTGAATTCCACCAAATTAGCAGTTGAATTACACGTTTATCTAAAGATTGATGAACGAATGAATAGTAATTATAATTTTTCTTAAAGAGAAAAAAAAATATAGTAATAATATTATTATTATTTATTATTTAAAAATGGCATTTTCCACCTCTCCCACACGCAAAGGGATCCATCATAAATTCATAAGATAATTTTAACAATTTTAATTTCCAACTGCTCCTCTGTCTCCGCATTGCACCAAACGACGGCGTTTTGTGCCTTTAATTTGTCTTCGTGTATGTTTTATTTTCTTTTAGATAATCAGTATTTGTATGAATTAAATTGATTTTACGTGTAATAAGTGTTTTTTTTAGACAAAGTATTGTAAATTAATTTTCAATAACCTATTTAATTTTGTTTGTGAAGCTCGACAAAGATTCGAGGGTGTTGTTAATTAGAGGATGAAAATACAACTTGCCATGTGGATTAGATGATCACGCTTCACCTATTCATACCCACACGTTTATTGAGCTCAATAACTTGACCTCGAAAAGATTATTTATTTGTGTCAAATGCACCAATATATAAAGCTTGATCACTTCACCGAAGAATGCTTCTCCAAGCATTCAGACTGAGCTACGATAAGTGATTGTATCTGGAACCGACTTACCTAGCTCGAGTTTTAGATTGATCTTGATCGATAGAGTGTTTGCTCATTGCATGCAGTTACATTATCATGGGAAGTTCGTCTTGGATCTCGGACCTTACAAAATTCAGTATTTTTCAAGAAAAATGAGAAAGAAAACATTAAAAAGATTCATATATATTTCTCTTTATGATGGATAAATTTAAGCTAAAATGTTATCCAATCAAACTTTAAGTAATTGTAATTTTTTAAATAACAATAAATTAGAAACAAATATATATTTTTTTTCAAACAAACTATAATAAAAACTGCCACTAATTAATGCTTGATCATCCAAACATGTGAATGGATCAACATGAACCACATGGATTTGTCTCCACACACACACCCATGAAAATACCATAAAAGCCCTCAATCCCAAAAATGTTTTTTTTTTTTTGTAATATAAGTATTTAGCATATAATAGATGATGCTCATCTTCAAATTTTATTATATTTTATTTTTCCCCCCACAAAAGTCAAATTCACATTTTAATGCAAATATATAATCTCCACCATATATATCACCTACCCAACTACAATTTATGTATTTGTTTCAATAATTATGAATTATAGAGGTTGATCTTATCTAAACAATGTTAATTGAATCTATGATTTTCATTATATAAAAAAATTTATTGTGATGATATATTAGGACACTCCATTTCTAATCCTATTAATATTTCTATCAATGGTGTCTTCCTCGATTCTCCAATTTTGAGAATCAAGATGAGTTTGGAAAATTCTCACTCGATCTCTACATATTTTAAACATTGGGTCTATATATATGTTTATTGTTGATTCCGAACTATTAACATCAATCAACAAAAAACGTAAAATCTTCCTATCATTTTTTTAAGTTCTAATGAGTAACATTCTAATAGAGGTTTTGAATGTCGATGTTGGTAAAGAGTAGAAATCTTAATTTTATGTAAATATTAATGTGTAGGAATAGGAAGTGGATTTTTTTTCCCTTAAAAAAATAATAATTTGTGTTTCGTTATAATTAATATATACATATATATGTATATAATATATATGCATATATATGTATATAATATATATGCATATATATGTATATAATATATATGCATATATATGTATATAATATATATGCATATATATGNAATATATATGCATATATATGTATATAATATATATGCATATATATGTATATAATATATATGCATATATATGTATATAATATATATGCATATATATGCATATATATGTATATGCATATATATGCATATATATGTATATAATATATATGCATATATATGTATATAATATATATGTATATAATATATATGCATATATATGTATATAATATATAT